CCCGGCCCGCCTCTGACAGTGGAAAAATTTTCAATGAAAAATTGGCTCTTTTTTTAAATTAAATAAGAACAAAGTTACATTTTTGAACAAAATTAACAGAGTGGAACTTAATCAAAAATTAGGTAGTTTTTGCTCAAATTTTTGATAAAAATTTCAAAACTTTCGAAAAAAAATTCAAAAAAATCAGCGTCTGCACAGAAGGCGGGCCGGCACTTTATCGGCCCGGCCCGCCAAAATTCTCGACGGGCCGGCCCGTGATTTGGCAACTATGAAAAATTCTCAATTTCCACCTCTTTTCTCTTCAAAACGCTGCCACCACAAAAATGGGCGGAGCTTCAACACACACAAAGTATAGCGGGCGGCGGAACCCGTGAGATGTCGGCCGCGCGTTTAGGTCTACTCTGCCGGCGCGCTTTCTCCCACAAGGCCGATGATTACCAAAATATAACCAAATGTTTGAGTGATTGTTTGTGAGCATTTGTCACTATCGCTGAGGTCTTCCTAATAACAAAATTTTGAAATCAGGTTAGAGTTTGAATACATTGAAAACTGGAATTGAAACAGAAGTACAAATTTCAAAAGAAGCTGGCTTCAGATTCACCAGTGTTTTCCCATACCATCATCGTGTATTCTACTGCCGTGATGTACATCTCTACAAACCAAACTTCGTACCAGAAGACTTCAACGTCTACGTTTCCTATCCATTGCTCTATACTCTTGCTTTCACAATTCCCCCACTAGTCATCCTGATTGGAGAAGTCATGTTCTGGCTCTTCAGTACAAAACCAAGAAAGATTGTCTACGCGAATTGTGGAGAATGTCCAGTTCATCTTTTCACAAGAAGACTTTTCCGATTTGTCATCATCTATTTGGCTGGTCTTCTGATTGTCCAGATTTTCGTAGACACTATCAAACTGATGACTGGATATCAGAGACCGTATTTCTTGTCCTTGTGCAATGTTTCAATAACGTAAGATTAGAGAGGAAGAAGAAAAGTAAACCGATCCAGAATTTTTTCAGTGCTTGCACAGCTCCACTGGAACATTCTCCATCTCCATCTCCCCATCTTGCTTGCAACTACAGGGGAGCTGATGAACTCCGTTATGCATGGCTCACCTTCCCATCTCTCCACGCCGTGGTTTCTTCATACGCAGCCTGTTTTGCATCTGTGAGTTTTTAAAAAAGAGGATTACGAAAACTAAATTATATGTTTTCAGCTCTACATCTATTACATGATCAACCTTCGCGGTGCTCCACTTCTCCGCCCTCTTCTCATTTTCGGTTTCATTGGACTCTGCATCGTCGACTCGTTCTCCCGAATCAACGGATACAAAAACCATTGGCGTGACATTTGGGTCGCCTGGGTTATTGGAGTCTTCATGGCTTGGTTCTTGGTTAGTATCTCGAGATTATCTAGGTGAAATTATGGAAAATTTCAGTGCTATTGTGTTCTCTGCTTCCAAGAAGTCTACCATATTACTGTCGAACGTACTCCGATCGTTCAAGAAGAGAGAGTCTCTCCATTCTTCAGTTGGTTCCGATTACCTCGTGTTCAGGCGCCATCGGTGAAGGAAGAGTATGTGTAAGTCTATCTTTTTTTCAATTTTTACCTGGTTGTGAACAAAAGTGACCTAATTTTCAGAGTATACGAAGAAGATATGGAACGCGCTGAGGGCACGATGCCACGCCAACGTCGTAACCGGGATCGTCAGTACGAGGTGACGACGACGACGGAATCTTTCCACCGTACCATCAGCCCACCACAGCAGACACAACAAAACGGTGGATATCAGTACTAGGATGCTCAAACTCTTTTCTTTACCATTTTATCAAATCATCTCCTTTCAAAAACCCAGTTTTCATATTCTCTCGGCAGTTTCCTCCATTTCCTATGCTCATCTTTTCTTCCCGTTAATTATTGAAAAAAAACATTTAATTAATGCTAATTATCTTAATTAATTTTTAATATCTGTATGTGTATATATCCAGCTTTTTTTCACTCAAAAACATCACTCTCCAGAATGTCTTTCCGCTTTTTTTACTTTTTTTTGTTGTTTCTTTTTCTCTTCTCGTGCATCATCCGCCCTGCTCCGATAAATTATTCCATTCAACCACCCCGTCTTCTTCTTCTTCTTTCCGGTCCTTGACAACAGTATCCATGACATTTGGGATTTGTGCCGCGAGTCCAGACGGACGTTGTGTTTTAGTAGTTGACTTGCATTTTGCGAAAAAAAGAAAAATTACGAAAAATGCAACTGGAGTATATTGTTTCTCATATTGGTGGTGTTTCCAATGAAGATCGACAATATCTCGTGGAGAAACCATGGGTTTCTGATAAGTGAGTTCATAGTAGACCGAAAAATATTAAATAGCGTATTAGCAACTTTGAACTCAATTACCTAAATTCCTATAAAATATATGAAAAATTTGTCAACTGATACATTTTTTGTCATAATATCGCTAATATTTGATCAGTTGACACATTTTTGATATCTCTCACGGGAACCGAGACAATTTAGTTCAAAGTTGATGGGGTTGGCCTTTGTTGGAGGAAATACGATAAGTAGGGTTTCACCATACATACAAAATCAGAGCCCGGCCCGGGTTTCCCAGATTTGAACGAAATTTCGAAATTTTACCACTTTTTCGAAAATTTTCAGATATTTTTGGGAAAAAATTGTTATTTTCATGGCATTCTCATCTTGGAAAGTTTTATACTTGACAGAAAAAAACGTCCATTTTTTTCTATGGACCCTGAGGAATTTTTTGAAAAGACGGGCCATGAAAATCCTGAAAAAAGCCCGGTCCGGCCAGTTGCAAGTGTGGATTTTTCTTGTCCCAATTTTGTCAATAACATTTATAAATTCCTTATATGTAGAACCTGAGACCTGAATGTAAATGAATCAAGGCTTTGTTACTATTTCTTGTTTTTCGCAGATCCCACTTCTTCCCAGTGGAAATTGAGCTCCACCTTCGACAACGAAGTGAAGTTGAGAAAATCGAAATTGTCGCACATAATACATTTATCCGTAAGAAGTTGTCATTTGTTTACAGTATTCATCACTCACTTTTTTCAGCCAAGAAAATAGGGATCTTCTCAGAACGAAACGAAGAGGGATACATTGGGGAAGTGCAATTCAAGAGCCGCAAAACTGACGATCAGAAATATGAGCTCAAGAATATATTTCTTAATGAAAAATGCTCGAAGTTGATTTTGAATGTTTCTGAAGCCCACATCGATGTCATCAACAATTTGGATTCATTAGTTAACCGTTTTCAGAAGAATTATATAGTTCTAAATTCCTCGACTTCAGGTTGGATTAGTAGACGTCAAATTATTCGGAAAGTATCTTCCAGCCGGGGATGATTTATTCATACCTTCAGATATCGACCATAAAGCTTTTAAGCCTGGGGTGACAAGGAACGTAATTCCGGATCACAAATATTCGAAAGAACTGCAAGCAATGATTCATGCTATTGAGAAGAACAAGCAAACGGCAGTGGCGGTAAGGCAGTTTTTTCTAGGAATACATGAAAGCAAAAATTTAGAATGAAGACTTCAAAATGGCAAAATCAGCTCAACTGGCAGTACGGGAATTAAAAAAGTCCACAAAGGAAATGGAAGAACTTGAAAACGATAAGAATGAAGCGGTGATGGATGAGGATTTCCAAAGAGCTAATGACTTGCAAGGTGACTCATACAAAAATTTATTTAAATTTAGAAACAAAAAGTGTTCAGATGAAATCACAGCACTTCGGTCTAATATTCTTGCTTCTATTGATCCTGTACTTCTGGAAGATACAATGCCAAGAAACGAAGAAATTCATCGTCCAAAAAATCTTTTCACAGAAGCTTTAGAGCTCCGATCCAAGCCGAAACTATATCAACCAGTTGGTATGCAACATCTTTTTTTATAACACTAACCAATTCCTGACTGTTACAGATCTTTCACCGACTGAAGTATCTGCTGATCAATCTACTTCATTCCTTCTTCCACCTCGTCCTCCATCTAGCTCCTTCAAGAAAACAGTGACACGTGTCATGACTCCGAAACGGCCATCTACCAATGATTCTACTTCCACTAGACGGAGTAGCGCCACGTGGGAAATTCCAATCAGGCCAACTACCACAAATTCTCAGAGCTCAAGAAAACGAACGCCTTCTCCAAGTGTCAAAAAAGCTCCGAGTACTGCATCATCTTCAAGAAGTCGTAGGTTTAAACTTTGTGAAATAGTATCTAAGTATTCTATTTTCAGGTAGAAGTAATAGCATTGGAATGGGAACAAATAAGTTTTTGGAGAAGGAAAACATGATCGTACCAGCAGCTTTGAATCGGAAAAGATCTTCATCTGTGAATCTGGAAACTCCAGAATTTGTGGACAAATCAACAGAGGATATAAGCGAAGATCAAGTTCTTGCGATGGTTTCCCCAGATCAACGGGGGAATGTCAGATCTGCGATTTCATTATTTGGTTTGGAACCTGTATGTTTTTTTTCGGTCGATGTTTATCGAATTTTTTGGATTTCAGATAGCCAAAATCTATTCCAAACATTTTGAGAATCGAAAGGAAGGAATCGCAGAAGTTCGGGAGAAACTTGATACATTTAATTCTGATAAAACATCGAGATACTTTGAAAGCATCACTTGCCTTTTAGCTCATATTTTGAAAGAACCTCTTTTCAACGTATACAAAGATGTTTTACTTCTCTGGCATCACTTCTGCACCTCACGTCTTCCTGAGCTAAATTTGGAGAAATACATTCCAAGAGTTGCTTCTGAATCAACTGAAATCTTAGCCACTCGTGTGTTGGCTAGTGTTAGTAATCATAAAAATAGGAATCATCAAGTTCAAACCTTTAGGAAAAACGGCTAGTCTCTGAAACGATGACAGTATTCCGCGATGCTTGCAAAGCCCCGTCAATTGGAAAAGCTTATGCATCGAAATTGCTCAACTCGAAATCAAAAAATCTCAAAGGACGAGCTATTTTGGTTGAGATCATTGCTAAACTTCATGGAGTTCCTAACGATCAAATGTGAGTTATGAAGATGTTTTCAGATGTGTTCCTCTACATTTTCAGTTCGCTAAACGACAAAACTGTTGCTGAATTTTCTACAAAATGCATCCGAACTAGTGATCCGCAGATCAGAACCATCGGAAAGGATTTAATGGTGAAATTGTATAAAAATGGATCATCGAAGGTATTTTCAGATTACTATTCTGGTTTAAAAATCGGAACTGTTGAGAACTTATGGTGACATTGACGAAGGTCCCGCAACGACAACTACCGTAACCTAAAAATATGTTTATTTTCCGGATTTAAAATCTATTTAAGATGTAATAGATTTTCGTGCGTTTTCAATCAATTTTTTCACCATCAATATTTTTGACTTAACTATGTGGGGAAAAATAACAAAAAAACCGACGAAAATCAGTGAAAAACGAGTAAATAAATACGAAAAAAAACAACTATTTTAGGTTACTGTAGTTGTCGTTGTGGGACTTTCAGCCACGACCACCGGCGTTTCTCTTCCTCATCTCCAATTTTTGAATAAAAAAATCCTGGTTTATTCGCTTTTTTTCAGGTTGTCCGTTCTGAATTGGACAAATTTGCGTCATCAGATTCCAACAATCCCACCTATCAGAAGATTGTTCGCGAAATTTACAACTTTGACGGAAGCAAACCAAAAAGTGAGAAGAAGAAGAAAATCTCGTTTATGCTGTAACAAAAAGTGTAGAACAACAAAGAAGAAAAAAAACAGGAAATCCTAAATGAACTACTACTCTATAATAAAGATAACAATGATGATGCTATGTATAAATTAAGAATGATTGATAGGATTGACAACAAAATGATCTTTTGATGACACAGAAATTATTTTGGTAGTCGGCGAAGTTCGTGACTGAGCCAGAGTACAGAAGAGAGGAGAGCCATTGAGCCAGATTGATGACACGCGGCAAGCCAGACCGGAACGTAATTGATCTGAAAAAAATTAATCGAATAAATATACATTAGAAGTTTCGATTTCTTACTAGAGTGAACACTCCAAGTGCGGCTTGACCAAAAACTGCAGCTACTGTTAGATTAAGAGCCATTCGTGTACGCTTCGGGATTGGTGCTCGTCGACCAATGAGGAATGTGGAGAGCACGCTAATTACAGTCAAGTATGCTAAATTTCTATGAACAAATTGAACGGTCACATCGTTTTCGAAGAAGTTTTTCCACGCTGGCGATCGAGAAAGCATGTTTTCAGGAACCCATTTATCGGCAAATTTAGGCCATGAATTGTAAACCAGACCTGCGTCAAGTCCAGCAACGAATGCGCCCATGATGGCAGTTGAGAATACCATTAGCTTGGATCCATGAGTCATTCCACGAAGAGCACCTAATTTGGAACGAACTGCAGAGAGCTGAAAATAGTGGAATAAGTAGTAGTGCACAAAAATATTGAAATTACATCGTATGGTTTCAAGAGATGAGTGAGACCATTCCAGAAGAAAATCGAATAGAGAACGAAAGCCATTGTCAAATGAGTGGCCAATCTGTACTGGGACACTCTTGGAACATCAGAAGAGTTTTGAGATGGATCGAGACCTGATTTCACCATCCACCATCCGATTCCTCCTTGTGCTAACAACAAAGTGGTGGCCACCGCCATTCTTCTTTTCATGTCTGGTCCGAATCGTCCACGTGCCCAAAAATAGGCACAAGGAATCAGGAAAACCAGTCCGATTGCTCTACCCCACATTCTGTGTCCGTATTCCATCGACCAAATGAACTTGAATTCGTTTAATGTCATCTCTTGGTTTGAAGATTTGCTAGAAAATTCGAATGTTTAAAAAATACAAAGTAAAACTACTAACAATTTATATTCCGGATATGCCTTGTATTTTTCAAACTCCTCTTCCCATTGTTTCTGTCCAAATGGAGGTTTCATTGTTTTGAACAGATCCCAGTTCACCATACTCAATCCCGATTCTGTTAACCTACAAAATTAAACATCTTTTGAAATCTGGTCTATTATTCGAAATGAAACCTTGTGACTCCTCCCAACGCAACAGCTCCATAGCACATTCCAGCACACCCCATAAGCCACCATCCGATTCGTTTCCTTGATTTATCGTCCACATTTTTAACAGATATCCCTAAGCTTCGCCGGAAACCCTGCTGCACGTTCTGATAACCGTGACTCAAGAGAGAAATTCTTGGCAGTTGGGAGAACTTTATCAGCTGTTTACCAGCTAACAGCCACATGCTTTCTGAATGACTTCCTCCACCATGAAACAGCGTGCATTATGTTTGATATCCAAAGATCTCTAGGGTTTTGATATTCCGCTTTCCCCTAAACAGAAGTCTATATAAATCACATTTTTTCATTCAGAAAACGTTCAGATGAAAGAAAAACAGTCAAACAGGGAACAACACAGTAAAGTAATTGGGTTGGAGACAATGAAAGATCATGAGTGGGGAAGTCCCAACGGAGAAGGTAATTTTTTTAAAAACCGATGATATTTAACGAGGGAACAAATAACAGGAAAGTTCTAATCTATCTAAAATATGCTATTGCTGGGAGCTGAATGTGGGGATGAAAGAGAATATGACGGTAACGGGTGAAAAATATTGGATTAATGGCTGACATTGTGTCCTTCAGTTGGTGGAATCGGGAGGTTCGGCGTCATTCCAAGAGTCTCAAATTTGAAACGCCAGTAAGCTACAACCATTCTATCCCAGATGTTTCCAGGAGAATTCATAGCCGGTCGCACGTCAAGTACAGTGAAAAGCTTTGACTCTGGATCGACGGCTCCTCCGTCATAATAGTCGATAACGTATTGAACTTCTTTCGTTCCACATCTGTCAACAATCCAATCGTGACGATCAAATGGATAAGCGTATCCGAGAACGAGCTTGCGGAAACGAGCTCTTGGAGAAATGTTCTTGGCGTCTCCCTTGAAGCTTTTCAACTTTGGTTCCGCGCATTCTCTGCAAAACATTCGAAATTATCTTTAATTTAAGAAAAAGAACATACGGATGGAGCAGATTCTCCCACTTGAGAACCTCGCGCCAGGCTTCTTCATTGTTGGCGTTGTGGATGCTGATAATGTTCATCATATCGTTTTGGGAAAGTTGTTCTTCCTCCCATCTCCATCCTTTCCTGCAAGATAACGTTTTAAATACAGTTTTCTAAAAGTGAGCCTTAAAAAAAGGTGCCAGGGTTTTGAAGATATTTTCATAAACTTAAAAACTTACTTGAGCATAGCATTCCAGAACATTTGTGGACTTGGATAAACCCATGTATCTTTCTCAGTTCCAGCTTTTGGAATAGTAGACTTCACTCTGTTGGTGGGAAGTGGAAATGGCTGATCTGGAGCTGGCTTCTGATTTGGATGTTCGAGTTCCTAGAAAACTATAGTAAATAACTATCGATGAATAACAGGAAATTACGTTGTTGAGTGGGTTGATGGTTCCTTTATCGGCCCCGGCTGGACATCCACCAGCACTTCCACATCCATCTCCAGCAGAAGCAGCAGCTCTCTGTTCGGGTGTCAGTGGGCATTCAGAACCTGCTCCAGCAGCTGCCATACTGTGTTGTGTTCTTCTGATTTTATCAGCATCACTATGGGTGTCTTGGACCTAAATGAATCTTTTTAGAAGTTCTGTTCGAATTATAAATAAAGTCTCACCTTAGCAGTCGACTGTGAAGAACCCATGATGTGATTTTTACCTGAAAAACTAAACTATAGTTGATGCTTGCTTGTTGATAAAGTGGCAGATGTTGGAAAAATGGCGATGATGAAAAGAGTGGGTCGAAACTTTCGATAAACAACGCGCACTCTCGTGCGGCGTAACTTCGGAGCATCGTTTGTAAACTTGGGAGATGACCGAAAAACTTCACGGAATAAACCACAACATTGCAAAAATGATGGAAAAATGGAAAGTTGAAAAATTCATTAGTTCAAACTAGAATTTTGTTTGCTAACACAATTTAGAACATGAACTAGACGGGGAGACTAGAAAGGGTCTGAGATAAGGGGAGATACATATAAAAGATATTATGCTTGCGGTTGAGTAGTCCGATGATTATAATACAAGTGAAATCAGAAAACAAAGCTTGAAACATTGACACAGAAAACTGATCTTCGTTATGCGATACTGAACCCGATCAGCATTCCAGCTGCAAAGCCTCCCAGAATCCATCGGTTCTCCGAGATGAATGAGTTTGGAACTTGGATGGTATCTTTTTTTGATACTCTGAAAACATGTATCGTTTTTATGAAGCAGTAAAATTCTGATTTGCTCACTTATTCATAACGGATTTTTGCAGATTCTTAAGATCTCTTTCAATCTTAGATTCGTTTAGAGTAATGTATCCTTTGTGGATTGCGAATTGAGCCAGCAAAAATGAAACTCCGACAGTTGCAGCGACAACACGACCTCCCTTGGTAACAAAATATCCAGTTACTGTACCGAACCCAGCCCCGACTCCTAGCTGAGCCATGGGCGGTTGCTTTTTGAGATCAACGACGTAGTGGAGAACTGTGTCTACTACATCACCCACTGCCTTCCCAGACTTTCCACTCCCTTCGTTTTTCGACAATTCTGTCATTACTGAAATAAAAACACCTAAAATTTTACTTCCGTCGAGACTCTAGACTTGAAAGCCCATAATATTCTACAGAAATGTTTAGTGCGCTATTCTGAACACGTTGTTAGTGAGCGTTTGACTTGAAAACGGTAAAATTTATGTGTACAGACATTAAATTTATGAATTCAAATAAATACACAAGCCGGAGACTGATGGATCTTGAAATTGTCGAATACACGTAAATGTGTAATCAGAAGAAAAATGAAGATTCTGGGTAGTTAGCAAAACGGGGAACGGGGACCATGAAAATAAATTAAAGTTGAAGAGATTCAGTTCTGTGTGAGAATTTCGCGAGCTTCTTTGCTGACGATTCCCTCCATCAAGTTAACGTCTTTCCTCCATTCCGAAATACGAGAAGCCATCGCCAAGATTTGGGAACTGTCAAGAACTCTTGGCTGCACCCACGAAACGTACACAACTTGCTCAACTTGATTGATATCGCCTCGGATCAGGTCCTTGCTCAACGCTTTCATCACCAAAAATTCTACTTCATCGAATGGAATTTGACATTTTGAGGCGATTTCTTTGAATGAGATACTTCTTGCTTTTGTTGGACGAGCGAGGGCCAATTCCATAATTGCCATCAAACGAATTTTAGCTGTCAAAAAGTCCTTCTTTCTCTTCATGTCGTCCCAGCTGCCCCAGTTGTTTTCCAGTGAGAAGAAACGTGGCAAATCTCCAGCGTTGAATGCGAGGAGAACATCAACGAGCCACTGTTCGCGAGATCCTTCGAGTGCCTTGATGATCGGATGAGCAAGCTGTAAAACTATTTCATACAAGTGAACCACAACTCATTTCCTTACAAGCTCTCCGAAATTGTGAACATTTTCCCCCAAAAGGGCTGCGAATCCCAGAAGAACTGCGTGGACCTGTTTCTCTTCAGCACTGAGATTTTTGGCATCTTCAACTCCCAAATAGCGCAAAGCCTCACGGTAATATCCAGCGAAATCACCAATCTCGCGAAGATAAAGGGCGGATACGCGATAGAATGGAGCATGAACTTCTGTTACTCCGACGAGAGCATCAACTTCCTTTTGTGTGAAATCGATTTGAGCTCGAATTTCTTTCAGATCGGGAATTTGTCCGTTTGCATCCTTGCTGACCAATCGCGATGCAATTTCTCGGTGTGCAAACGGGCAATAGCGACTTTGTCCTTGCTGACTACTTTGCCAATCTTTGCCAAAAATTCCAGAGATTTCGGTCTATCCTTAATCGCAATATTCTCTGAAATTGGGATACAGATTTCGACAAGCTGGAGAGGATTGGCACGGAGCTCCCACTCGGAGACGAAGTTATCATAAAACTCTGTCATGTCAACGCCAGCGACAAAGGCAGGCTTTTTGACAAGAGCGCGAGTCAAAACAGTGAGCTGATGCCAGAGCCTGAAAATAATGAAGTATAACCGGTCATCACAGCACTTTCTCTTACTTCTTTGAATAATGATCATTGAGATTCTTCCAGTCGTCAGCTACTGGTCCTTTAGCAGAATTTTGCTTTCTGGTGAGATAAGCTTCGACTTTCTCAACTGCCATCTGCAACACAATACTGATTTCAAAAATTCAGAAGTTTCGTGAGAAAACTATTAAAAAAGTAAGCAAGAGTGAGGACTACAAATGAGAGAATTAGAAAATCTCCGCTTAACAGAAATCGCAATATAACTTTTAGATAAAAAAAGATTTGAATTTTGTCAGCTTTTAAAGGAACACAGAAAATTGTCATCAAAATATCCAAGAGCGAAAAAAGGGTTTTCTAGGCCACGGCCATGTGTCTGCGTCTTGTATCTCTTCATCATATTCTCTAGAGCGCACTTTCTGTTTTCAATTTTTACAAAAAAAATTGTTCTTGCCGAAACTGGGGCTGGTACAGTTCAATTTTCACAGCGAATTCATTCCAGAGGCCGTATGCAAGAAAGTTTTAAACCGTTTTCCGGTGTTCGGAAAATGATTTTCCGAAAGGCTGGAAAGGATTTTCATAGTGATTACATGCATTTTCAGTCTTTTTTGCTCAGAAACCCATTTTCAAATTAAAAAAAATATATTTTCAGACTTTCAGAAAATTATGATCCAAACATCGGGAAACGGTTTTCCACTTTCTTGTATACGGCCTCAAAAATATAAAATAGCTTTTAAGGTATTTATTGCATTTGCTGTAGTTTAAAAGTGATATCTCAACCAATGATATAGCCCTTGAATGAATTGTCTTTTTTTAACTCTTTCTGCTAATGTATATATTCAGAGTTTATGTTTCTGCTATTTTTCTCGTTCGAAGTGCTTAATAAATTGCGAAATCTAAATTTTCTCAAAGCTTCCAGATAGCCACAGTGTTGTTACACGTCACATAACTAGGTTCACTTCAATCACTCTTTTCTCGCCTGTCCCCTCCTGGTCTCTACTCAATTTTGAAAAATGATCTATGATGTTCTATGTTCTTATCTTGCTTTGCTATTACACTTTATAACTTTCTCTCGATATTGATTTCTCCTTCCGATAGTTTCCACTTTCTTTTCCAGAAATGATATCTCGACTGACAACAAGTTTTCTACTATGGATGTTCTTAGTTTTCACAGTTGTGTTTCTAAAATCTTCAGGTAAGGGTATAACTTTTATAATTTTGAATATATTCGGAATAAATTACAGCTGCATCGGACAAAGTTCTTCTCCGGGATGTTTCTGCCATCACTCTTCATAAAGGTAAAATGACAACTGGACGTCGTGTGGCACCTGCACTGCAATTGAAATGTGTTGGTGGATCAGCTAAAGGACAATTCTCTCCGAAAGTAGGTCATGAGCATATGCTTTAAATACCAGTCCGAAAACCTCAGGTTGTTCAATGTGCTAACCAAGGATTCGATGGATCTGATGTGCAATGGAGATGCGACGCCGATTTACCCCACAACATGGAGTTCGGATCTGTAAGAATTTGATAATTAATTTGAATTTTAATAACATTTTTTCTCAGCTGAGTGTCTCCTGTGAAGGATATGACTATGCAGATGACCCGTACATCTTGAAAGGATCATGTGGCCTTGAGTATGAACTAGAATACAACTCGGGAAGTGGTGGAAACCGCTCTGTATCCCGAAAATCAGAAGATCGCTGGGATCAGTTCGCAACATTTGTTGTCGTTGCGTTCATTGCATACATAATCTACGCAATGTGGACCAACAGAAACCAAAACCCAGAAAATGCAGGATATCGATCTGGAGGTTCAGGTGGTCCAGGTGGTCCTGGATCAGGAGGAGGTGGAGGTCCGGGTGGATATCCAAGTGCTCCACCACCATACGACGACAATTATGGAAAACCTCCACCATACGGGTTCCGTGGTGACAGCCAATCTGGAGGAGGATGGTAAGTTTCTTACTAGGAAGACGATTTACTAAGCACCATCCAAGTTTTTCAGCCAAGGGAGTTCTAGTGGAGGCACAAGTGGAAGTGGGAGAAATGGCGAGGGAGGAGGCGGCTTCTGGACTGGTGCTAGTTTAGGAGCAATCGGTGGATATCTAGCAAACAGCTTCTTGAACAACAATAACCAATATTACGGTCGTAATCGATACAACCGAGGATTTTTCCAAGACACGGGTTTCTCTAGTTCTGATTCATGGTCCTCACCATCGACGTCATCTCATCGCTCTAGCTCTGGATACGGAGGAACCACTAGACGCTAAACAAGTTCATAAGAACCTTTCGAGAAGCGGGTGTCACTAATACTAATTCTGTTTTCCTTTTTTCTTTCTTTCTTGTAAATACGATACAATCGGATTATGCTGCTGGCAAGTGTATATTTCGATCTGTTTATTATCTGGCATTGCACTAAAGAATAAAGTTGTAATAAATATATGAGTGGTTTTGGGCAAGTGGGAGAAAATCATATGTTCAACAGGGAAAAATAAATTAAGGTTAAATGGAACATCGTTTAACGAGTTCGAAAGATCAATCAGTGTATCCGGTCTTGTTTTTACACCCTCTTCATGTAATCAGTGCATTGAATCATGCAAGATGTGTCCTTTGCGATGTCGGTCAGTAGGTATTTATGCGTCAGCTTCTCGCAACTGTCCACTTTTGTTGGATTACAAGCGACACCTTCCAGAGTACAAGTACATGTAACACACGGTGTCATGTGAACAGAGTCTCCCAAAGCGATGCTTCGTCCGTTCATTTCGCAAGTTTCTAGAAAAACCAGATTATAACTCTATGGGGAAAGTTCAAACAAAAACTCACTTCTTTCTTTCCATAAAGATAGGTCAACCTGTGGAATATCTGAGCAAGGTACTTGAGCATTTCTGAAGAATATTCTGTTGGGAAAGCTTCTCTGAAAATAAAACCCACGTTAGCTCATCGGTAACATCGAAAACATTTGGTTGGATAGTTTTCATGTATTTGCTGTTTGAGCAGAAAATTGAAGCCAATTTCACTTTTCGGATTTCGTTCAACTGAGCTGGTGTGAACTTCGCAGCGTTGTTATCATTTTCATAGTAGAATCGATCACATCTTTTCAGTCTTCCGAACTGTTCAGCAATGATACAAGACATAGTTGTTCCTAGAAGAGCACCTCTCAATGGGCGTTCACTGACAAGTCCTGGGAAAAGGTCAATGTCATCCACAGACTCGTAAAGAGATTGAAGGATATTGATGTTGTCCTGATCCATCTCACTTCTCAAATCCTCCCATTTAACTGCTCTTCGAAGTCCACAGAACTCTCTGAGATCATTGTAAGGCTGCACTCCGTGGTCTCTAGCTCTCAGAATATTCAATACAATAAGGTCCATTCCACTGGTTTTCTCTCCTCTTCTCATGAACAAATGATTTCTCACAGCGTCTGTGATATGACGATCGAATGCCATGGATGGTGTTCCAAGAAGTCCCATTAGCATTGCATCCATTCCTCCTTTTTCTTGTTCGTACAATGGTCCAACATGTCCGAAATGTTGAGCCAAATCCACAGGCTCACTCATGTTCTTATAGTTGTAGTTCATTCTTGGGAACATTCTTCGGATCAGAGTGTGTCCGAATCGGAAAGCAGCAGTGGCAAATGGTTGGGAAATTGAAGCGTCGCAAGTTTCATCGTATCCTCCAAAATATCCATTCTTCTTTGGTACCAGATTCTGAGCATTCAAAAGATCTAATCCAATAATCTTGGGAAGGAATTCAGCAAAAGTGATGTGTTGCATCTCAGCTACAACAATACGACGAGTCTCCTCAAAAACTGTGTCATCATTCCAGTGTGGATTGAGAGCTGATAGCTGCATAGCAATACGGTTGTGCTCTCGGACCATGAATGTGTGCATAATTGTAAGTCCAGGTTGGTGGGAATTTCTTTCGTCTCCAGCCACGAAACAAGGCATTGATCTCTTCTCAAGAGTCGATCGACAATCTTTTTCTTGATTTCCTTGTGGCAACATCATTTGTCCATGTCCAAAATCAGTGAAGTTCAGTAGACCCCTTGTGAAAAGTCTCAATGCCTTTGCCTCACATTTGGTAGATCCATAAATTGCAGATCCATCAACATAGGCGGTCAGTTGATTCAATTGATTACGGTATCCAAGATTTAATTGTCCAAGGAGAGACCGAGCGAATGGAAGGCAACGTGGTTCTCCATTTGGATAGTTGGTTGGGAAGAATGGATCATCTTTCTCCACACGAATTGGCATGCAGTGTACGGAAATCTTTTCAGGCGAATCACATTTCGTGCAGTTCAAAATCTCATCGTTTGGTCCTCGAGCCACTGGAGAATGAGTCAGCTCGTGGTCCAAAAGTTGTCCGAATTGCATGACCATGTGAGTGAATTTCACATGAGATACGTCCTTATCTTCGCATACAAGATTAGAAACTCGACGTGGATTTGGAAGAGGTCTTCCAGATTTAGCACGGGTTCTTGGAGCATCAAAACCATCTTCATATTGGGGTGGAAGGACATGGCGAAGTGGAGCAAATGAGTTGGCATATTCGGGGAATTTCAGATTGTTACACCATCCGTTGAAAGTACGGTAGCGAGTTGTGTGATCGCATGGCAGCATTTTCGGACTGCATTCTTCTTGGCTAGCTTGCCCATCTTCAGAAAGGAAAGCGGTGTAGTTATTGACAAAAGAAGTAACATCAATATCCGGAAGAATCTTCTGAAGAGTATTGGTATCTAACTTTGGCAATTGCTCATCAGTATCTAATCCTTCTCCCTTTATCAATAACTTTGTAGTCTCCAGAAGAAGAGCAGAGATTTGAGAAACTTGTTTTGCTCCTTCTTTTGCTCTCATCATATTTGAATAGGCAAAAAGTGGATCTCCTTTTTGGAATCTTCCCTGATTGTGCTTCAAATTTGAAATTTCTCTTCTCTCCTGATCCTTCAGATTTCGTTTGGCAAGACTGATAACCTTCTCAATGGTTTCTTGACGAATCGGGAATACTGGTTTTCCTTCTGCGTCTCTCCACTCGTTGAAGTTTGGACTACTGAGGACGGTAGAGTTGCAAGAGATTGCCATGTTGCTGAAATTGTGAAGTTTAAAAGAGTCACTCAAGAGAAAAAACTCACTCGAATTCATCTTCTCTGAAGAATACATTTCTTTGAATTCTTCTGATATCAATGTTAGCACAAATGATTTCCGCAAGTTTCGTGTTTCTGATTTCCGAAAGTTGTCCTTCGCTGAATCCGGATTGTGCGAAATAGTTTTCGTACCAGAATCGATCAGCTCTTCTTGTCTGAAAACACCAATTTCAAGAAAATGTTGAAAATTTCCCTGATTACCCGCTGCATTTGTTTTCCAATTATGCAAGCCATGGTTGGTCCAACCAATGATCCTTTCAATGGTTTTTCCGCAAGAACTCCAACCAAAATATCAACATCTTCGACCCGCGAATATGCAGCGGATAGATGCTCAAACTTGACTTCTGGCAGGAAGATTTCACGCAAGTCGTTGAAAGAGGCAATCTGAATAGGGATTCAAATAATTTAGATTGAGAATCTTAAAGAAAACTCACTCTTCCCAATCCGCAACTAGCTCTGATCGCAGTATATCCTGGGATTCCGTGATCTCTTCCTTGTTTCAATGCAATTGAAATCAAGTCCAATCCAAATTCATGGTTGTCTTTCAAAAATCCACTTTTAACTTCATCATTGGCTCTAAGGGCTGGTTGGTAGATATTAGTGGTCAACAATTGACGAATGATTTGAATCGGACCTTGCTCATAGAGTCTCGATGGATTATTAAAGTCAACAAACGATTTCTCAGATGGTAGAAGTGCCCAGAAATAGTATGGAACTGTCACAGCAAACTCATTGAATGTTGTTCCTTCCAGATTCATCTCATAGTTGGAATCAAATCCGGCCGAATGCAAGTTCAACCCATAATTTCTCATGTTTTCTCTTCCGAGAAGCACTGGCAAGAACTCATTGTAAGTGATATGTTGAATTTGAGCTGAAACGATTTTTCTGGTCTCCTCGTACAATTTATCATCAGTCCAATGGCGATTGATAGATCTCAAATTGTCAGAAAGTCGGTTGTGATGACGAATGAATACTGTGTGAAGAGCAGCAACACTTGGAAGAATGTTCACTTCATCTGATCCAGATAGAGCGCATCTGGAATGGGTGGCCTGACATTGAAGCGTTCCGTCGGTGGCAGGGAGTTCTCCTATGCTTCCGGCAGTTCTCAATTGGCCTGAAATTGTGGTACTTTTCGTAAGAGAAATTTCAAGATTCCATTTATCAAAATGCTCTGCTCGCGGACAAATGTTCATGAATCGTAACTAACCATTTCTGAAAGTTCTTAATTGTTTTGCCTTTTCCATATTCGAACCATAGATGAACGAAGCATCAAGATAAGACGACGCAAAGTTTGCTTGTTCCCTCGGACCTAACCGACACGCTTCCCTTGGAGCGATTATAGATCGTGAATGAGGGATACAGTTCAGTCTAGTTCTGAAACATTTTGTGTTTTATGAATGATCTTTAACCACTGAATACCTGTATGCTGGATCCGCCGCTGGTATATCAATGACATCGCATTCTGAGTGATTAAACCCTCGTTTGCAACACGGCAGCGCCGAAGACGTTCCCTCGTTCACTGCTTGGAACGAGACGACATTGACCATGTCAGATGCGATTAATTGCATCCACAAGCCCATCATGGTTGTCACTTCAGAATGAACCTGAATTTAGAATTGATTAGGGGATTTCAGCAGAAGCTATAATTATTCTAACCTCTCCCCTTGGAGTGAAAAGTGTCAAAGATAGACTTCTGACAGATGGCAATGGTTTACTGGCTGCCGCGGCTCTTGGCTCAGACACTCCATCAGCATAATCAGGTCTCATGATTCTTGCCATTGGAGTATGAGATGCTCCCCATTCAGGATGTGCTACATTGTTGCAGATACCAGAGAATGATCTGAAGAAACAAAAATTGAAAAGGAAAGTGAATGATTGGAAGAAAACGAGGAACCAGATATTATTCCGAAAGCGACATCGACGCTTATCTACTCAATAGGATTGCGCAATGGAAAAGTGAGGAGAAAAAAGAAAAGTGAAAAAGAAGAAAGAGACACTGCTGGACACTTTGGCAGGCTAATTCGTACCGGTAATTGGTGGCAAAGCAATGATTGATTGTTGGGATTGGGCAGTTTGAGATTGTTGAAGATATTTGGTTGGGTGGAAGACCGTACTTTAGTTCTCGTTCACGGAGTCCCAATCTGAAAGTTTCAGAAAGTTCTAGTATATTTTGTGAAAGAAACAAACGCGGTCAATCGTTTGGTGATTGCCACTGAGGTGAAAGCGGATCTACTGCGATCCGAAGCCTTCTTATCGGCTTTGTGGATTCTGGTAAATTGGGATGTGGACGTGGAGAGAGGGTGTCCGGAATATTGGAAGGCAACATCTCGAAAGTCGAAGAGTTTACTAGATTCTCGTTCTCCTTCTTTGGCGGCAACGAATAGAAGACCTTCTGGGACTCGATGGGAAACAAATGCACCTAAAAAGAAGGATTACGGTAGAGGGTGTCTTGTTCGAGCAAACGGTTTGAACTACGAATTTGAAACGGGAAAAAAATCTAAAAAATAACCGGTTGGAAATTTCTAGTTTCTTAAAAGCTACTACCCGGCCTGGAGCAACGGTAAATATGAAATCTGGCCCAACAATAAGGTAACGACCTGAAGACTCTAGAGAACATTTAAGACTCTAGAGAACAAGAGTTTGTAGGATTAATCAACCGATGAAACGAATCAGATTGAAACGAAAACAAATGGGTCAATGCTCACCTTCATCAATGCCATTCAGGCCCTGCTGGTGGTTGAGAATATCATTCTCACATGGGATAAACGACTTTCCACATGGAATATTTGAAGCTACGATTGAGCTTCCGGCGAACACTAATAAGTAGAGTACCAGCCGTCGCATGGCTATTTCTTCGGACAACACCACTAGCAGGAGGGGTGAGAGATGATTTGACGCGGAAAGCGAAACTATGGCAAATGTGACATAGGGCAGAAAAAGCAGTTAAGGAGAGAAGCCCTGGTGAGGGGAAGAAGTCTATACAGTCAGGCGAAGTGGGGCGGAGATGCATATTGCATAACACCGTGACAGTACCTCAGATAAAGAGATGACCAGAACCGGATTGAATTGGCTGGAAGAGTGGACGAGAAAGTGAGGACGCCGATGAAGGACGACGACGCAGGAGGAGAAGAAGAGGACAGGCGCCAAAAAAAGAAGCTGGAGGGCGATAGGAAGAAAAACGAGGGGGGATGCTGAATACAGAAGAAAAGGGTTTTGATCGTTGAAAGTTCGACGTCAGTTTATCTTCCAATTGGGGTGAGAAGAAAAGAAAGGAGAAGGGGGTCCAATACTCGTTTCCATGTTTTGAATACACAAAACAACACACCGGATGACACTGAAGACAGTTTCGGTGATTCGAATTATGATCGAATCGCCGCCGAGTCGACCGGAGAAGAGAAAGGAACTGGAACACAATGAGAGGTAATTAGGGAGGAAGTGGTGAGGAATGGGGAGAAGCTGGTTCGAGTTGTGTGCGGTTTTGAACGGGAAAAAAAGAAAAGTCAACGCTTTTGTTCCTTTTTTCAAGTGGTACAGGATTTCAATATCTACAGTAATGAAGAAGAAGTGGCTTTAGAACTTATTTTATTTGGAATTCGTCATTCAAAATAGTGCAAATAATGAAAGGTTCGGAAACATTCTGTTGAGTCTTTAAATTCTGAAGCCTTGACGATAATGGCTGAAAATATTTTTTTTTTAATTCAGGATTCTTGAAATTCTAGGTATGCTTGAACCGGGGTTGTGGAAACTTCAGATCTCGTCTTATAATTTTTAGTCTTTCATTGTCACAGTTTTTAAAAATTGTGGATTTCTGGATCTTTGTTTCTTATACTTTCGATACTTAAATGAAAGAAGTCCCCGGACCTGATTTTTCAATACGTCTGATTATTGTCTGTTCCCAGGATTATAAACATACACTACCGGTCAATAAGATTTACAAGAACATATTTTTAAGTGTTTTGACCATTTTCAGAAGTCTGGAGCTCAGCTGTCAAGTTTACGATAACTTTGAAAACTTCGGAGGATGTAAAACAGACCTAGATTGAAAATTTTGTACACACATATTTTTTTTGACAATTACTAGTTTTTCAGTTATTGGTCGTTTTTTGAAAGACGCTGTTTTTTACTCAGTACAAAAACAATTGAAAAGGTCGTCTCTCAGAAACCGACAAAGAGCTGAAAAACTAGGAGTTTTCAAAATTTCTGTGAATGCAAAGTTTTCAATTTAGGTCTGTTTTATAACCTCTAAAATTTTCAAAGTGATGGGAAACTTTTAAGTACTTTAAAATAACTTTAACTAACTACTTAACTCTAACTTAACTTAACTTTTAACTTTTAAAAAAGTAAGCTCCATACTCCTGAAAATAGTCAAAATCAATTGAAACCCGTTTTTGTATATCTTATTGACTAGTACTGTAAGAGATTTGTTTGATAAACTTTTTCTTTCATTTCTACCCCCCCCCCACCGGCTCCAAATAAACCTTTTTTCCGATAACATCCCCTATCCACCTACTTAATTGCCACCTCTCGAAAATTCTGAAATCATTTTCCTCCCCACTCACATCATTCTATTTTCGACTCTACTGTTTTTTAAAGCGAAAACCTTTGTTTTTTAAAGCGAAAACCATTTCTCAGACATCCACAACTATCCATTATTCGTTTTTTCTTACTTTTCCACCCTCACATGTCCTTGGTCTTACCCACTAAAACAAAAAATACTATGTGTTACTTCCGTTTTAGTTCCCTCGTGGGATATCCCGAAAAGGAACAAGTAAGTCACGCTGGGCTTGCAGAAAAAAAACTGTCGCTTCCTTCTAGATAGTGTCAGCTGAGTCATTTCCTCGTTCAAACCAACAAAAGTTAAGTTGTACACTTGCACAAAACATCTAATTCTCTTCTTTTCTGCAGAGTTTATGGGTGTCCTGAAAACAGAGAACACCCAAAAGTTCAATGTAACGGACCACCCTGAATTCCGATGGAAATTGGAAAATGTCCAAAAAAGGCATTTCTGTTGTTTGCACTTTTTTTTTATTTTGAACCTCCCGCTTCGCTTCGTTTACCATCCCTCACCCGGAATAAGAATTCTAATAACATAGCACCTCGAAATCGAATCATGCTTGAGTTGACACAACAGAGACTGGCGTTTCTATGAAAACTGAAGATCACAAGAAGCGGTTCGGGATTGGTAAAGGTGTTCGGTTGTTGTTAAAAATAGCATGACGTGTGCGTTTCAAAAAAGTCTGTTTCAATCTACAAAGGTGCCGAAAATTGGATGCACCATTCCTAAATAGCTGTTCTAACCAATCAAAAGGATTTTCACCTGTGAGTAAAAATAGTATAACTATTAACAAACAATAATGTTCTAGATTTTTAGATTCATTTTCCAGATCATGAAATGTGTTTTTTATTGAACATCAGAAAACAAAAAAAATATCTAGAAAGCTGAAAATGTGACCAATCAACTTCTCTGATTTTAGACTACCTACGATTGTTCGAAGAGCCGGTCAGAAAGCGAGCCCAAGCAAATCTCGAAAATTTTCGAATTCGCTGGGGCGCACTTTTTGACCCGTTTCTTGAGAACCTAGTGACTACCCCGTAATACTGTAACTTGTTAAAAACACATTTTTAAGAAAATAAATATTATTTCTGTTTCGGGATGCATTTTTTCAATTAAAGTTATCTTCGGAACGTTTTGAAATTCGGTTCGAGTGTTCGGGATAACGAAAATTCCGATTTCAAACTTTTGGAAATTCCCATCTCAAAAAAAAACCGTGAAAAGTTGGCAAATAGATTTCGAGGATGCAAAAAAAAATTAATTCCGCTCGAGACCAAAAAGAAAAAACATTTTCCGTGCGCCTTTTACATACAGCAGTCCAATAAGTTCTAAATCCGAAAAAATACTGTAAATATTCCGGTCGAAATTTGATTCCGAAATTAATCGGAATTTTCGAAGTAACGAATTCATTTCTGAACATCTCTGAATTTTTATTCTATCGCTATCTAGGAACCTTTGATTTAGTTTCTAACTTTTCAGTTTCCTTTTTCCAAAAGGACGTCCTTCCTAGAAATGAGCTGTATCTTTGATTCCAATTTTTGATTCTTTCTTTTTTCGCCTCAGATCATCTTTTCGCCCTCAATAACTAACTTTTTCCAGATTAATCATAATTCTGGGGTTTCCAAGATCGAAATGATGTGTTGCAACTAAACAACAATTCCTTTTTATTCTTTTGGCTTCTTCTTTTATTCCAAAAATGAGCAGAGATCCACCATTCCACTTCCTTGTTTCTTTTCTTCTATTGAATATTTTCTTGTAGAAAAAAAGTAGTTAAAGTTCGTTCACCACCCACTGGCTATACCTTTGAAAATAACGAAATTCTTCGAAATACGCAGTGGATACTCGAGAATGTAGAAAAAAGGTAGTCAGATTGAAAACTCTTTGAATTTGGCGAACAAAACAAAATAGATATCAAGTTCAGAAGTTAATGAGGGAAAAAAGAACACTGTAGTGAACTGCATCTGACTTTTAATTCAATTACACATATCTAGGCTCTTTTTAATCCACAGAATTATAAAATCATACATTTGAAACGCTTCTGTATCAAGACCCACACAACTATATATTTGTGCGAGATACATACAGCAAAAACTGTATTAGAAGGGCCCCCTAACTTTCAACTTTGAGCCGATTCGCCTCCATTCCTCTCAGAGATATAAGAAGATGAAAATTTGAAAATTTCTAACTCTGTCTCAAAATTCGTTGCAAATTAGTAAAATATGTATACTTTATACAGAAAAAAACTAACTTTAGGCAATTCGTAAATTTTACTTGTCTGGCGGAGAGATTTTCACAGAAATTTCTTGAATACGATGCTTCACTCGTTTTTAAGGTGAATAATGTTTTTTTTTCATAAGAAATTCAGGTCATCAAAACTGAAAAAATTTATTGAAGAAAAGTAAAAAAACAACAACAAAAATAATAGCGTGAGATATATTTCCGTGAACCTACAGAAGCGATCCCGAGATCGTTTCTGGGAGTTTTGAAAAAAGAAGCCTGAAAAAAAATATTGATATTTCCCGTGAACCTACAGAAGCGATCTCGAGATCGCTTCTGGGAATTTTGTGAGAGCGAAAAAACACCCAGAATCGATCTCTTGATCGATTCGGTAAGTTCACGTAAATCTGCCAATTTTCGAAAAATATCGTGAAAAAATAAAAAAAATCTACAAATTTTTCATTCTGAAAATGGGCTCCCTTACTAGTAAGGGTATCGTGTTTTGTGATTCAATGTGAATTTTTGAAAAAGACGAGAAATATTTCTACGTATTTGTAATATTATCTGATAATCATGTTGATTATTGAAAACATTGAGAAATTTCAAATTCAACAGGATTTTCAAGTAATCCGTTTCAAGGGAATAATATACTTTTTGATCCCCCGAACGTGTTAAAACGTATTACTTGAAAATCTTGTTGAATTTGAAATTTCTCAATGTTTTCAAAAATCAACATGATTATCAGATAATATCACAACTATGTAGCTAGAAATATTTCTTGCCTTTTTCAAAAATTCACATTGAATCACAAAACACGATACCCTTACTAGTAAGGGAGCACTTGGGTTCAAGCTAATGGGTCAGAAATCTCGCCCCAGTAAACGTGAGATTTTAGAAAAAGTTTCGCTGCTGAATTATGTGGCTGAGGATCAATCTTTTAAACGTTGGACGAAAAAATAACGCGTTGCAACTCGTTGATTAAAACTAATTACGTCAAATCCACGTCAACTCTAAATTATTAAATTTCTTCTGGCCTAAAAGTTATTTTTTGACCCGTTGGCTTGAACCCAAGTGAGGGAGCCCATTTTCAGAATGAAAATTTTGTGGATTTCAAAATTTCACGATATTTTACGAAAATTGGCAGATTTACGTGAACTTACAGGATCGATCAAGAGAATATTCCCAGAGGCGATCTCGAGATTGCTTCTGTAGGTTCATGGGAAATATTAATATATTTATTTTTTCAGGCTTCTTTTTTCAAAACTCCCAGAAGCGATCTCGGGTTCACGGAAATATATCTCACGTTATTATTTTTTTTGTTGTTTTTTTTAACTTTTTTCTTCAATAAATTTTTTCTGTTTTGTTGACCTGAATTTCTTATGAAAAAAGTAAAAAAAAAACAAAATTGAATTGTTTTATGATGAAAATGGTCAAAAAATGTTTGTGAAGTATAATTCTCACACATAAATCCCGAAATAACTATGTTTCTTATATTTCTGTGAACCAACAGAAAAGTTTGTAGGCTGGGCTCTATTCGAACGAATGTTTAAAAATTTGAAAATTTCATTTTCTTATATGAAAAACTGGTCAACTGATAAAGTGTTTATAAAAATATCACCAGTATTTTATCAGTTGACACTTTTTTGATATTTTCTACAGGAGCCAAGAAAAATGAGCTCAAACTTGACAGTATGGGAGCCCTTCTATCAAGGTTTTACGATAGTAGCCTACGCGAAGTTCTTGTGAACTTCCTGGCTAGTTGGTGTTCAAAAATAGTGAATCTGAATGATATTTGTTAATGATTAGATTGTCGTTAAGTGAATATTTGGGAATCAGGAAATAAAATAATTCAGTGGTAAAAAAGGAAAATAATTGTATTGGATCTGGTTTTTGGTAGACATCTATCTGGAATTCAGTCTTACAACTAGGGATATCTATCTGAAAATTTAAGTTATTTCCAATAGAGATTCAGAACCGCGCAGATTCTGTGATGTATTAGACCGATTCACTGAGTCGCGAAAGGTAACCTTGATTTGAAATTTGGCATAAAGTCAAGTTTAAAGTTTTGGATGGATAAAAGGAAGATAATCATCTGTGAATCTGTTTGACACAAATTCGGGCAGATCTCATCTGAACTTGGAGTGTAATCTATAAGATATATTATCAAGTGAATATCGAGACCCGTAGAGGAAAATCGAGATTAACGATATGGGATTCTCTTTTTTGAATACAATTCTATTTAAAACTTTGCTATATTCAGTTTTTGTAATGAGATTTCGATAATTCTGAAAACAAACTTCAACTGATCATTTCTAAGTCAACGTATGGAATGAACCTGTAAATGGGATGCATCTGGTATATCTGAAAAAAAGTTATCTTTATATTTAAAATATAATTCTCCAGATAGAAATCAAATTGATTTATTTAATCAAGCGATTCATAGAAGATACATTTGTAATCGTGTGTTCATTAACCGTTTAGTTTCAATTTGGGAACAAATTGTTTTTTGTTTTTGAAATGAATCAATTCGAGGAGTGAAAACAAGAAAAGCGAAATAGAAATTTTTAGTACCAAGAAAATGTTGTGTTTGAGGATCCTTTTGTGAAACCCGTAACAAAAAAGTGAGGAAATGAGGAAATGGAGATCAAATAATACATGACACAAAAATTAAGAAAACTAAACGACTAGAAAAAATCTACAATAGGAACGGTTTCATATTTCGAATGGTCGGAGGAACAGACTTCTGCGATGCTTGTGCTTTGATACTGGAATGAATCCGGAGAACGCATCGTATTCTAATCGGAGCTCGTTCATTGTGCTTATGCATTCACAGTGACCTGAAAAAATTTTAAAATTGAGGATGAGGATTCGGGAATCTTAAAAATTCTTACCTAGAACTGCTTGTTCTTCTTCCTCCTCTTCCTCTGCTATTGGCACAACGTTGCTTCTCTGATTTTCAGCATTCGGCCTCCAACTGTAGTACAATGATCCAACTGTCAGACAAGTGTCTTTACATTCATCTTGATCTGGCACATTTTTAGCTTCCGACACAATCGGCCCTACTATTACATGATCTTGAAGGCGATATCGTACTTCATCTTCTAAACAAGTTTACATTCGAGCAATCACTTCTAAATTTTGGACTCTCACCATCATCTTGACAGAATCCAACCATGGTGTTCGGTTTGGCAACGAGTTTTCCAGATGTGGAGCGTGATTTGAGGTAGCACACACGCTCTTCGCTATTCCATTCGTAGCCAAAACATGAGAAATCTTCGATGCACTCCTTGGCACATCTACAACATATACATTTTTGATCTGATATCGAATTCCGACGTCTCTATCTTCTCTCTCCTATGAATTGTTAATGATACATAATCAGCAGACTTTCTATTTTGGTTTAAATTTAAAAACGGAATCGAAAATAATATTCTAGATCAATCTTTAGAAGAAAAAAAACTCACTCTCTATCCTGAAAATTTCGTATCCTCCGATAGTTTCCACCTTCGATACTCATGCCGATCTGCGTATTGAAGCACTTCCCTTTTGCTGCAAAATGAAGACAATAGAATCAACAAAAATCAAAGAAGATGCGGGGGTTGTTAAGGGGGTCCCATTCAGATGATGTCGCTCTGCTACTCTATATGACTTCTGATTCCGCTTCGTCGCACGTCTACTGACCGAAATGTCACGGCGACGCTTGGGGAGCAGGAAGAAGATACATACGCATGCTCTTCGCGGTCAGTTCAGGAACTAACAGATTCATTCTCTCTCCAAATGAATCATAATCTAAATCACGTCATGATTCAGTTTGGTATTGTGTGTGAAAACCATACATAAATAATGGATTCTGATGCCGTAGAGAACGAATGATGTCCTCCGTAACGGTTACGTGCTAATAATGGATATGCGAACAAGGAAGAGAGTGCACTTCAATTTCAGATTTCGCTATTCCAGAATCTTAGGAGATAACCTAATACCTTTTCTCATAGGTCAACATCGAAAACAGTAAAAAGCTGATTCGAAAAGCAGGAAGATAAAAAATGGGTTTTCTTCATTGGTATTCATTGGGAGGGATTCATTTGGAAATTGAATTTCACTATATATTTTGGCTTATTCGAAAACTTCCAGTTTTTTAGTTTTTGCATGACTAAAATGTGTTTTTGATTGAATGTTCATTCACAAATTTTCACGCAGTTAAAGAAATTCCAGAAATTAAGGTTTATCTGTATCTCTCATTCTTTCGTTCTCTCTGGAATTAAAGAAATTCTGAAATCTCTTCCTGGTTCTTGTTTTCAGGACCTAATTTTGTACATAGTCAATCAGACAAAGTTACGATAGGTTCTTGAACATTTTCTTAGATCTAAAATAGGAATCCGAGGCTAAATTTCCTAATATTTCGTCATGGAACACAGGCCGGAAATGCAACCCGAATGTTTTACGGGGGGCTCATCTTGTTCATTCATTCTCTTTTTTCAGATGACCAATCGGAACCACTATTAAATTCGAGTGTCTACATGACGTATTTCTATTTCTCTCACTCTATTTCTTCCCCGAGTATTAAATGCTTTGTTTTTGTTTCCTTTCATCTTAAATGGGTCTAAATCCGGGAAACCAGAAACAATTTTAAGACTTATCCTTACCTGAAACAGGAATGAGCATAGAAATAAATAAAAGGAGCAGACACTGATATCTGGTGATATCTATCCGAAATACAGTATCAAACAAAAAATCGAATACTGTAGATGAGGGTACTGTATCTACAGTATCATCCACCGAACAGTTCGGTGCTGAAGACGTTGATGGCTCGTGGCACATTGCGCAGAATACGTGGGGAGTGTGGGTGACACTGTGGGGCTACACCAGACCGCTGACGAAGGCGGTGTCTGAAAAAGGGGCGGAGCTTCAAACACAGGCAGGCGGGGATTTCTAATAAAAAATAACTCCCTTGCCTCTTTGGGCGGCGAGATGGATGCACATACACACATAGCATATACACACATAAGCGAGAATAGAGCAAAAAGAGAGCACGGACGCCCAGAGCACTTCCTCGTTTTCCTGGCGCTGTTTCGAAGCTTCGGAAATTAGGAAGACGTTGGAGGAAGAAGTAGGCGACGACGACGTTCAGTGAAGATTCTTGATCTTGAAAAGTAAAGAGATATTGACATCTCAACATCTCGCATACTCTATCATCTGGGAAAATATCTTCTAATTTGAAACACGACTTCCCGGTGGTCACTCCTTCGAAATTCAGAAAACGTCCTTCACGTCATCCTTGATGTTTTTTGAAACTCTCACAACATGGCAATATCAAAATGTTCTCTGGACTAAAAAATCCAAAGTTTTGGTCTCTTTTTGTTTCTTGTAAATGCCAGTGATTTTCGAATGAAAATGAAAATTCGATTCGAGACAAGAAGAGGAAAGGTTTTTAATGAACATCTGAAAAATAAACTTTGAAATCAGATACTTTTACAAATAGGGCTTTCAAGTTTTCGTTTTTATTCATTCTGAAAACAAGAAACGCTTGTGGGATTGGTACTAAAACCATATTTGGAAAACCTGCTTAGGATTTTAATATATCTAAAACCAATCTGTAAGCCTTATTGGAGAGTTTCCCGTAACGATAAAAGAAGATTCCATTCTGGAAAAATGGATAAAAATAATCCGATTTTTCAGATTGGAAAAGACGTGTGATTGGGTTTAAACAAAGAGTTGGTGGCCTAAGTTTTCGAAAAATTAGGCCACTCAAAACTACATACTATTGAGTTTGATCTTTTGGTGACTACATTTCCAAGAGTTGTGTCATATTGAGCCTTTTGCAGTGCTTATAATACTGGTTAAATGTTCTGTAAGATCAGATTATCCCGCCTGTATTTCTTCCTTGTTCGTTTTAATCACTTCGCCGAAATGCTCATGTCTACGCAATCGTTTAGTCTGAACCTCTCCAACCAACGATTACTCCCAATAATAACAATTATCAAAGAAGATGCCTTCATTTTTATTTTCCCCTTGAGAATTAAGCATCTATTTAGAAGCATCGGGTTAATGCCCAGGTAAATAGTAATTGTTGGGAAAATAGGGGAATTCAGAATACTTCCGTTACTGTCAAGTGATTCACAAACCAGTCTAGATGACGTTTGTTCCCATAAGAAACCCCCCCCCCCCCCCCCAATGTCAGTGAATCTTGCCTCACATCACCCCGATGAACCAGCTCAATCTGAAAATCTGAACGAATAGATAAATGAGCTGATCCTGCAGGCGAGAGAACAGGCGCTTATCCACGATTTAGGTGTTTGGGTGGGATCTATATTATTACTTCCTTCTATATGTCCCCCCACTCAACTCTCTCCCGGTTTTTTTAGACGAACTCTAATTAGAAGTTGAGAAAACAAGGAAGTGTCGTGGTTTGGTTTGATTCTGAAAGTGTTCATAATGTTCCGGAGAAAACAGAAAGAGAAGTATTATGTTGTGTGTTCAAACTAGAACAACAAACTATTGTTTTGTGTTTTCCTTTTTGATTCCGGAACGACCTAAAATTTTTCTTATTAAAATGAAGACTATTCGAAGAATCTTCAGCTTTTTCAAGATTCGATATATCAGAAAACACAGAAATTAGATAGTGGGAGTGGATGTAGTAAAAGAGGATTACCAGAGTATTAGTATTGGGTGAGGGTGTATGAATAAATTGTTGAAAAGGTAATAAAAGAATTTGGGAAATGTAAAACTTATTTGGATTAGTAGTAGTACTAGTAACTTTTGACCGGAAGATCAAAGAGTTTCGAATGTCGGAACGTGCGGATCGGATTTGTGATGGAATAGGTTAGATCTGAGGGGTGTGATGGGATTCTGATGTGCTTTTGAGCTAATTTGAGGAATTCTGAAATAAGAACTCGATCTGAAACATTGAGTGCCGAAAACTTGGAATCAATAAATTTCCGTTGAACTCAAGCTATTTCCTGTTCTTAAGTTTTAGATCTAAATTTTCTAGTAATATGATTCAGTAAAAAAGTTCATTAAATTCAAACAGTTGTCTTCACATTCTAGTTTGGGCCCAATGTTCAAAAAGTGAATTTAAATTTCTCATTCAATAATTTCCACTCCTAATACCGTACCCCCTCCCCAACTTCTGCATTCTTTGTCTAGTCTGATTTTCTAGTCCATCATTTCTTTCTCTAGTCTCATCTTTTCTCATCCAAACCTCTATATCTTCTTTCTCTGAACCGTAGAATTGGAACCGAGCCAAGTCTTGGCAAAGTGCACGTCTGCAACGAAAGCCCTAATTCGGTCACCCTCGTTCCAAAATACAGCAGCCAACGCACACGACGAAAATAGTATATTGTTTTCATATGATGACCATTTAATGAGCTACTTAATCAAATCATTTCCGTCTCCAGAATAACCATAATGACGTCTTCGTTGTCTTGTGCACATCCATTTGTTTATTCTTGTCCTTCTATTACTCTTCCACCCTCTTGTATCTTTTTTTGGCAACAAGAGTCTCTCCCAAGTTCTTCACAATTTCTATTAATGTCCGTCACCGTTTTTGGGACGATGAATGAGCACATACAATATTCTGAGCACGTCTTCTTCATGTTCTAAGCTCAACCTTGTCTATTATTCAACAACTTCTTACACGTCCTGGACCCATGGGAGAAGTGCAAAATAATCTGTTTTTTGATAGTGGTGGTCGTCGTAAATAAATTTGCACACCGAATTACTGCGTTCTGCTGGGCCTCTTCCAAATCGAAATAGGTAAATAACAAAAAAGTCCAGGGAGTCTATGTTCTTATCTCGACTAATCAACAAAATAACATTCGGAAAGTGGATCAGCTCAAAAAGAAAATCTGTCTGAATATCTCCAAAACCCTCTTATCTAAATCGTGTTTACTCTAATCCCTGATGTAATTCGATATTGAAAAAAAAACAGAGTTCCTTCCCTTCAGAACCATTTTGATAAAGTGCCTGGGATAGTTATGAACTGCAAATTTTTGTCTTATTCTACGTAGTTTCTTTTTGGTTCCTGTTTACTTTAACATACAAAAATAAAGCTTGCTGATGCTCTAGCAGCAAGCCAGTTGATCTCAGAGATTACGCAAAAACATTGGTAGTAAGACGCGTAATCAAAATGAAAACAACATATGCTAATACTACTACTACGCAAGGGAACTTTTATTCCATGTGATTCTCATTAGTATTCATAAAATATTTTTTGGGAAAAAGATCATCATCTTATCTGTCAATGTGTCTGGGATACAAACCACGTGATGAGACCTCTGATCGAAATGTTCTAGAATGTGTGTTTTAAAAATAGCTGCAAAAATTAGGTTCTAGAGAAGTGGAGAACTAAAGTGAAGCTCGTTCTTTGCGAAAGTATTCAACCAAGGTAATGCCTGAAAATGTCTTTCCACAATTTTATAAAACTGTAGTAACTGCAAAGTAATGAGGAATTCAGTCTTTTTATGGTTCCAAAAGAGTTCTCACAATCATCAAAAAGCCTTGGTCAGAAATGGCGCCCCCAGGGAATGGCAGATGTCGCAATTATTAAATGTCTTCTGGCCTAAAAGTTATCTGGGGCGCGATTTCTGACCAAGTCTTTGGGCCCGAGGCCGCTGAGAGTCCTATGTCTGTAACTCCTTCGCCTTGAATATCATCCGTGTTCCAATCTTCAGCTTATTATTTTGTTTTCCGAATTTAAACCAAATGTATAGGCTAACCTACACCATAATTCCAGCTGAGCTATAATACGGTAGCTTTACTAATATGTAATCCGAAATCTTAAAATCTCAGTCATCATCATCCTAGACGATCCTCTAAAAACCGTCACTTCCTGGTTTACGTAACATCAATGGTCATACAAAATCTCCGAACGTTTTCGGAGAAAGGATTTTATAGTGTGTCCTGAAACTTCTTCTTTTTTTAGTTTGTTCTTTTTTAGTTCTGTCGAAATAAGCAAAAAAAAAAAAGCTTAAGAAGCTATGAAGTACACTAAATCTGAAAATG